GAACCTCAAGGTCGGCAGTTCGAAACTAGCAGCTTTTCCGGGAGAAAGATGAGGCTTTCTGCTCCTGTAAAGATTCGCAGCCTTGGAAACCCTGTGCAGGGTCGCTATGAGTCAGAACTGACTCCACGGCACATAACAACAACAACAACAACAACAACAACAACAACTACCTCTTGGGTTTTGGTGGGAGAAGATAAAATGCTTCCCTGTAACTCAAGGGCTATTCTCATGCAGAAATGCTGTTAGGATTCTTCATACTTACTCAAGGAAGCAAGAAGCTGACAAACTCACATAAACAAACAAACCATAAAAGTGTATGACACCCTCTGGATAGCCACACAGAAGTAAACACTTAACCTCTTGGGTTATGTGGTGTGGCACTGTAGGATCAGCAACGGACTTTGAAAAACAAGGTTGGCAGTTCAAACCCACCAGCTGCTCCTCAGTCAGAACAGACTTAACAGCACTTAGCAACAACAACAACAGGTGTGCCACAGATGAGACTCTGCTGGAGAAAACTCTAGAGTGGCAGTCCAAATGAGGACAAAACATAAAAACATGAGCCTAAAAAGGGACCCTAACGAGAGAAGCAGCGACACCAGAGATGGAGGCAGAGATGAGGCCATGGAGAGAGCGAGCAGCTGAGGACTCTAGACTCATGGAAAGAGAGGGACTGAGTGCTGGGCGGCCAGGAGGCAGGCTTGCAGAATGTACCCTTTGGTTGTTTAAATGATTATACACTTCTGAGTATTTTTGTGTACATCAAAAAATAAACACAAAACAGAGAGAATAGAAGCAAAACCGATGTTCTCCCATGTAAACTCTCACTCAATTCACAATTAAAAGCTAAAAAACAAACAAACAAAAAAAACCCTTAGAGATTTCTTCGTAAACTGTGGTAGAGTGAAGAGAGATCAAAGAATCTCCTTTCCCTAGTAATGCTTAATGAAATGTATAAGAGAAATGAAATGCAGAAAGTGGAGAGGGGGAGAGCAGGGGAGGCAGGAGGGAAGAAAGGAAGGAGACTTCCATGGATGGGAAAAAAAAAAAAAAAATCTAGTAGGGATAAGAATCTCCTGGTGTGGCACTGTAAGATCACCAACGGACTTCAAACCACAAGGTCAGAAGTTCAAACCCACCAGCTACTCCTTGGAAACCGAATACAGGGTCGCTCGGAGTTGGAACCCGACTCCACTGCACTCAAAATTCGGGAGTGAGGGAGAGAACGGTTGGCTTTGGATGTTGCCGATCTTGTCCACACACCTCCCCCAAAAGGAGTACTGAGAGGGGGAAATGTGAATCTGTGGCAATACCCTTTAACATGAAGAGCGGTGGACTCAGGGATGAAATTGTTGTTGTTGTTGAGTGCGAGTGGATTCCGACCCACAACGACTCTGTATAGGGTTTCCGAGGAGCGGCTGGTGGGTTTGAACCGCCGACCTTGCAGTGCAGTGTCGTGCTTTCTCCCTCGGGCAGGCTGTTGTGCAGCCATGAAAAGGAAAGCAGCCAGCACGGAGGAAGGCGGGGAGCCTTCTGCCGCCGATTCATTCGGGGTGGCCAAGGCGTGAAAACGTGGCGCTGGCGGCTACAGGGAAAGCTCGGGCCGGCGCCAGACACGGTCTCGCCCAGCGCTCAAGTCAGAGAGCAAGTGGCCCCCCGAGGGCGGCTCCGAGCTGACGGGGTGACCTATCCGGACCCAGTCGGAGGCCTGGGAGGTGTGACACAGAGGCACATACCCTGGATCACGCAGGCTGCCTTCGGACCAATGAGGGGCCGGTGGGCAGGCACAGAGGCTGGGGGTGGGGGTGGGGAACCACGCCGTCATCACGTGTCTTAGCAACCTTAGTGAGGGGCCCATGGCGTCCTTGGAGTCGTCGGTGGTAGGAGTCCCAGCGGCAGCAGCCACGGCAGCCCAAGAGGCCTCAGCCAGGAGGAGCCCCAGGGAGGGGAACGGTCTTGCGGGGAACAGGCGGCGTCGTGGTCTTCGTGGAGGCGCATCCCGTCGTCGTTGTCGTCGTCACCGCCGCCACCACCGCCGCCACCACCAGAGGCGGGCCGGCATCGCCCTAGCCCAGGTGACCTTCCCTGTGATCATGGTGGAGCACGTGCTCATCGAGGAGGATGGTGGCTACCAGCAGGTCCTGAGTTTCCTGACAGCCATCCCCGAGTCCCTGGTGGTCCCGGTCCTGTACAGCGGCCGGAGGCTCATCAACCCCGGACTGGTGGGCCTGGTAGCGCACTATAACGCTCTTCTCCAAGGCTATTTTGTGACCACCACCCTTTCCCAGGTGGCCCCGGAACTCTGGTGAGGGCCCCGGGGACCCAGGCGGGCAGCGCCAGGTGCACCCACGGCCTCCAGCCCGCAGCAGCCTGGGCGCCCCTTCCCCAGCCCCGCTCCGGCCGCCTGCCCTCGCTTTGACCTCGGGCAGGCTCCATTCTGTCACAATACAGCCGCATTTCCAGACAACCTGCTCCCGTGTGGTCACTATGGGCTGGGCCCGGGCCTTGAGGACAAACAAGCAAGCCAGCGAGGGGAGCAGGAGAAACCCCGGGGAGAGAGAGGGCTGGGGGCGCTTCCCACAGGGAGGGGCGGCCTTCCCTGGCCCCTCTCAGTGGCCTTTGAGGGGGTGTCAGGCCCCCCAAGGGTTTCTTGCGCCCCGAGGGAGCAGGCCTTCAGGCCACAGGGACAGGGCGACCAGGCAGTCATGGGGGGTGGACGGGGGCAGAGGCAATACTGCAGAGTCCTGGGAGGAACAGTAAAGAAAGGCATGAGGAAAATGGAACATGAGTCCTGTAGGATCCCCAGAAGGTCATTTTGACACGCCTAAACGTGTGTGTGTGTGTGTGTGTGTGTGTGTGTGTGTGTGTGTGTGCTGTGGGTTCATGAGCTGGACTGCACAGTCGGCTTGAACCGCAAGGTCGGCGGTTCAAAGCTCACCAGCCACTCCTCGGCAACCCTATACAGAGTCGCTATGGGTCAGAACCGGCTGGAGAGCACCTAAGAACCACAAAGGGTTTACAGCAACCCTGGGGGCAGGAGTCAACCAGCTTTCTACGTCATTGCGTAACCGCAGCGGCAGCAGAGGGCGTCCGGCCAGGCCCCGCCTCCGAACGGCTGGCTGTCACCACGGCAACAGGGCGGAGCCCAGCAGGCGCACCCTAGAAGGCCATCACAGCGTGTGACGCAAGGCACGCCGGCCGTGGCCGCCATTACGGCCGGTGCCTGGGCCGGCGACAGGCGAGCCCACCCGGAAGCGCGGGGGCGGCGGGCGACCATGGCCGGGGTCGGGGGCGGCGGCGCGGGGCCCGAGGCCGGGGACTTCCTGGCCCGGTACCGGCTGGTGTCCAACAAGCTGAAGAAGCGCTTCCTGCGGAAGCCGAACGTGGCCGAGGCCGGAGAGCAGTTCGGGCAGCTGGGCCGCGAGCTGCGCGCTCAGGAGTGCCTGCCCTACGCGGCCTGGTGCCAGCTGGCGGTGGCGCGCTGCCAGCAGGCGCTCTTCCACGGGCCCGGCGAGGCGCTGGCGCTCACCGAGGCCGCGCGTCTCTTCCTGCGGCAGGAACGCGACGCGCGCCAGCGCCTGGTCTGCCCCGCCGCCTACGGGGAGCCGCTGCAGGCGGCCGCCGCCGCCGCCGCCGGGAGCCGACGTGTCCCCCACCCTGCCGGGGCAGCCTCCTGCGAACGCCTCCTGCTCTTCCGAGGCGCTGGGAGCGTTCTCCGACGTGCTGGTCCGCTGCGAGGTGTCCCGAGTGCTGCTGCTGCTCCTCCTGCAACCTCCGCCCGCCAAACTGCTGCCCGAGCACGCCCACACCTTGGAGAAGTACTCCTGGGAGGCTGTGGACAGCCATGGGCAGGAGAGCGGCGGCCAGCTTCCCGAGGAACTCTTTCTGCTGCTCCAGTCCCTGGTCATGGCGACCCACGAAAAGGACACCGAAGCTGTCAAGTCGCTGCAGGTGGCCATGTGGCCGCTGCTGAGTGCCGAGCAGAACCACCTCCTTCACCTCCTGCTGCTGGAAACCATCTCCCCCTCCGGGCTGGGCATCTGAACCATGATCCCGGTGTTCACAGAGTGCTGCTGGGAACTCTTTTCCTCTCTGCCAGCTCAGGCCCCCACCTCTGCATGGGGCAGGGCAGGGCAGGGAGGGGAGGAGGCAATAAAAGACGTTTCTCTTATGCCCACATGTATGGTCTTCCTGTAGTCACCCCTCACAATCAGAACTTCGTTGACTCAGAGGGAGCCGAGTTAGCCCAGAGACTTAACTTCCACCATAGTTCAAACCAGCCGGTGGCCGTGGGTGGATTTCCACTCACTGTGTGCGTGCGTGCGTGCGTGCGTGCGTGCGTGCATGTGCGGAGAGTGTGTGCAGAGTCCCCCCCCCCCCATAGGGTCTCTGCACTCCATAGGGTCTGCCCCGTGGCAGCGGCGGCGGTGACCTTTCAGGAGTCGATGGCCAGGTCTTTCTTCCGAGGCGCCCCCGGGTGGCTTCGAGGAGGAGGAGGAGAAGACAAAAACACGGTGGTAGCAGAACACGATGGCACAAGACATGACTCATCTTCCCAAAAACCACAAGAAAGGAGCGAGGGTCTCTGTTCCTTGCCTAGGGCTGTTCTAACCAGTGACCACACACCTGGTGGCTTACAACCACGAGAACCTTTGCCCTCACAGGTGCGGAGGCCACGAGTCCAAAATCAAGGCCCTAGGGTAGAGTCCTTCCTTGCCTCTTCCAATCCTTGGCTTTCTCTCTCCTCTGTGCTGAGCCTTCTCCTCCCCTTCTGCCTGTGGTTTTCTCCTCTTACAAAGGCAAATCTCACGGAATGGGGGGCCCACCAGCAAAATCCAAGATGATGTCAGTTAACATCTATCTGTCAGGTCACGGTCACAGGGTGGACAGAGCTTGGGGCGTGGGGTCAAGTTGGGGGAGGCCCATGCAACCCACAACACCCTCTTCTTCCCCCACCCAGGCCCACTCCCCATCTTGGTTTGATGCCGAGGAGTTGACGTCCTTGAGCTATGTGATGTCACCATGGCTCTGACCTCACCTCTTGGCTTCTTCCTATGGCTTGGTGACCACCACTTTCTCCTTTGCTCCACTTGCCCTGTGTAGGTATACCTGGAAATCATTTTATATTCCTTACCGTGTTGTTGTCAAAGCCCTAACTAAATCCATGGCGGCGGTTAAGTACGGTGGAGTCACTTCCGACTCATAGCGACCCTGCACAGGGTTTCCGAGGCTGCAGATCTTTACGGGAGCAGAAAGCCTCATCTTTCTCCCGCGGAATGGCTGGTAGTTTCCAACTGCTGACCTTGAGGTCATTCCAACCAAGCCTTCAGCAGACCAGTCCACTGTTCTGTCAAGCCAGCTGTTTCTTAGTACTGGGGCACATGGTTAGATACGTGAATTCTGCAGGCCTCAGCACACTGACTCATCTTCTTCACCCAAGACCATGTCTCCTGGTCAACAGCCGTGTTGTGCGTGGTGAAATCGTAGTGGGTAAGACATTCTGTAAGTCATAGATGGTGGAGTTGCAGAAGTGCTGCAGGCATGGAAGACAAATACGTAACCAGAATGTGTGTCTGTTCCTGGGAGGACAAAGTGCTGTGCCCTTCATCCTGCGTAGGGTCCAGTGATCGCCGGGCCGACACTGGGTAGTTGACCATGTCCTCCCAGGGAATGATTCTGAGTCAGGGATTGGGTGTCATCCTCTGCTGCTATTTGCAGGTTAGCCAATGAGCAAGTAGCAGTCAGTGACCACATCAGCCTTGGTACATGCACCAAGCGCACGCATAGCCCCCATCCTAGCCGCCATGGGCCCACTGAGCAAGCACTTGGGTGGCTGGAGAAAGGCAGACTGACATCCACAGAGCAAGCTGTCTTGTCCACCTGGTTATGAAGAAGCTCTTCCACCATGGATGCCCTCTAGTGGGAATTTGCAGGAGATGCAAATATCTCTATGCTATGGCTCATCCCAAAAGGTAATTCTTCCTGAAACTTTTGCTTAGTTTTTTTTTTTTTTCCTTCTTTTTCTTCTTCTTTCCCCAAAGTCAGCCCCTTGCTCATGCAGTACATGTGCCTTGTGCACCTTCCTGGGCCCAGTGTTGTGTATACCGCTTCCATTTCATGATTGAGTGCTGTCACACGTGTCCTGTGTCTGGGAGTGGGGACAGGTAGTACAGAGCTTTTTACTTAGGACTTATAATAGACAGCATTAAACACTTGATAATATTCTAAAATGATCTATTTAATGTGACACATAAAATTAGTGTTTTGCCAGATGGCCTTTGACTATAGATAATCCTTTAAGTGTCAATAGTTGAAGCGTAGTATACTCCTGCTCCCATTATGTACAAACCATCTATCTATTCAATCCTCTACATAATCAAAATATTAACTAGTAAAGCAGAAAAAATCAGTAACCTCTTCAAGAGTTAGGGTTAGCATACATCCTGTCACTACAATCCAAGGCTGTTTGTTAAGTTCTTGCTACACTTTATCTTTGAGCCCTGTAAAGCCTTAGATAGAAGCTTGGAAATACCTTTTCGACCAGGGGAACTCATGGATACAGGGAGTCTCCAGGTTTATTTGCTGTTACTTCTGTCCTAATCCACCAAAAATTCCAAGACAAGCAGAAGGGGATAGAGCTAAACTGTTTGTCATTAGTTAACATTTACAGAGCTTAGAGAGGGTTTAGAACAAGGTTATGGAAAATTGCAGGAGTAAGAAAGAGTACTTTGATTACTTAACTAAAGATCTTAAAGATAAAATTTTAGTTTTGTTTAAAGCCAAATGGCTTGGTTTCTTAGTCAAGGACATTAAAGTTAGCATCGACTTAGAGATACAGACTTTTGCTTCTTGGATAGTGTACCTAGAAAAAAAGTAACTATTCTATAATGTTGTTGCTGTTAAGTGCCAGACTGGGTGATGGGGAAATGGTATTCAAGACACCAAGTGAGTGTATCCTGAATTGCACATCGTGAGCTGGACGGTACCAGACACAGGACACGTGCAACAGCACTCAATCATGAAATGGAAGCGGTATACACAAGACTGGGCCCAAGAAGGTGCACAGGCACACGTACTGCATGAGCAAGGGGTTGAACACTCCCCTAGTGCCTGTGCTCACTGCTTCACTGTCTCTCCTCAACCCAAACTTGCAGGTTTATGGGGAGTGCTCTATAACCAGCTGTAGCCAGCTAATGGAGAGAGAAAAGGCTCTCCAGATTGGCCTCTGCAGTGTGCCAGCACCATCAGGGCAGCAGGGACTACTTGTCCCCCACCCCCCAGAGGTGGACCTGAAAGATGGGGTGGCAAAGAGAGCTCATCTCAGCAGGCAGAGAGCTTCCGCTGGTACATCTGGCTGTCCACTTCCTGTGGACGGAGAGCTGGCCTGAGGAACAGATCAACACTGAGTCATGAGCAGTGGCTATTGAATTGGCTGTCTGGTCAGAGACTTTGGGGAAAGAAGAAGAAGAAAAATACTAAGCAAAAGTTTCAG